TCTTATATCATATTATCAAATGATGTCGTAAGCTTTCGCGGCCAGTCGTGATTTGGGCTGTCTGGGTGACGCCACGCCACAGGCTGAGGTGCCGACCTGCGACTTGCGACATATCACGGCCTCCTTCAGGACTGTAGTGGCCTGAAGAAGACACTACAGACTTGAAGAAGATCGCAATATGTCGGTCGAAATGTCGGCACTTCGGCGTGCGACGAAGGGTCACCAGGACAGCCCACATTATTTTGTCAAATATTTGTATAAATATTAACGAAAATGTCAATTTTTTCGCTTGCTGAAAATATTTTAGGAAAATTTGGTTGAAAATGGAACAGAGTCAAATAGCGAGCAATATAAATATATAATTTTATAAACAAAATACCTTAATCCTTATTTTTAAAGTTGTAACTTAGTATAACCCAGCAGTGGGAACGTTGGGTCTGTGAGACCCAGTGTCATCTTTAAAGACATTTGTCTAGTAAAAGAAATTATTTCTTAACTTATTCACCAGTCTACCTTTTAAATTGAATCTTCCTGAATATATGATGGCCTTAGTTTTAGTTTATCAAAAACGTGGTGTGATATTCCCGCTCAAAGTTGTTGGGCCCATCAGACCCAACGTTCCCGTTTACGTGACTTTTTGGCAACATTATAATTGTTTATCAAGTGATAAAGTTGTTGATCCATTTTTTGAATTAGAAGGTTTGCCTTCCTCAGATTCTGAACAAGAAATTGAAACTGAACCTGAGAATCAGATAATTAAACCTGAACTTTCTGTAACATATTTACTTATTTATTTATTTGCGATATTTTTGGGTTAACAAGTGCAAATTATTTTAAATTTTAGGAGGCCACGAAACACTTTCTCGGAGAGGTTAAGAAAAACAAAATGGACGAAAAAATTATTGTAAAAAATGCTTCCATAAAACATTACTGTAAAAATACTTTTAAATTTTAGTTTAAGTAATGTAGACATTTTTGTTAACATTGCAGTTATTAACTTAATATTACATTTTGCTTTCCTTGATCTTCGTTCAGTTTCAATTTTGTTCTTTCATCACTAGTCGAGAACTTTTAAAAATTGGGATATATTTTGTGCTATATATTGTGGTATATTGGTATTTTTTACTTTATAAAAATATTTGTGAAATTAATTAGTGCTTTAAATAGGCTCTAATAACTAACGGGTCTATGAGACCCAACGTTCCCACTGACGTCAGGATTTTTCACGTTCTCACCGCCGGGATAAAGGAAAAAAGAAAACAATGACGCCATAGTTACGTGTGGAAGGTATTATTTCTTATACACGTAACTACGGTGGCAATTCATTAATTATTAATAAGGTGGCGAGTTCATAATGACACCATAGTTACGTGTGTAGTATGCGTTTCTCTCGCTCATCGCAAAATAAATATCCATTACATTATTATGTAATATTATCCATTTTATATTATTAAATTGAAGATATTAATTATAATGAGTTACTGATGCATATTTTAGGTTATTTAGAGCGGTTTAATGGAAAAATTGGGAAATGACACCATAGTTACGTCTATATGTGTTATTTAGAGTGATGAGCACGGAATGACACCTTAGTTACGTATATTATAGCTTGCATACTACTGCATATCGCACGCCGCAACATAAATATTTAGAAACACACCGACGACAAAACTTAATGAAACAATTCAGAGGTGTTTTCTAGAAATTGTTGAAAATGTATGTAGGGATTGGAGTAAATCAATATATCCGGTTGAAACTCGCAGGGCCTCGAGTTCCTTTAAATGAAGTAATGCAATAATGCGTCCGTCCCTTAGTTCAAATTAATTGTGTTACCAACTTGCTATTTATTTATCTCATGTAGTTTTCTAAATATCCAATTTGGCTTCAAATTTAGCGTCAGATATTCTAAAGAACTGAAATAATTTTTCATCTTCCTCCAGGTCGGAATATAATGAAATTCCGATTTTGTCATTATCGTTCTGTTTTGAAGAGAAGACAATTTGGACTTTCTTCGACTCCTGGACCAACTTCCTTCTTCTGCTATTAAAAATGAACCCAATGCACACAAATCGGGAATCGAAGTTGGAGCGAATTCGATAGAACTAACGCCATACGGGCCATGGACACAATCGATTGCTTGAAATCGATTCTCACATCCAACCAATAGTAAACCATAATGTCTCACAGCCAATAGAAACTCTCATTTTGCGTACGTTTATGTTAGACATTGTGAATACTTCAGTCTATCACTTTTGTTAATGTTCATGTCAATGCGGAGTGCTTATGTTTACGTTTGCATTGTGAATGGGCCTTAACGGTTTAGACGGACAGACTGATTTTCTACGCAATATTAGAATGCTTTGGTAACGAGAATGGAGTATGGATAGAAAGTAAAAATGAACAATTACAAAATATATATGCCAGATTTTGAGAAAAATAACAAACTTCTAGATTTGTAACCTTGCCCTATTTTGACCAAGTCTCCTGGATCCACCTAGCCAAGTTAAAATATTACATGTAAAGGGAACAAAACATTAAACTCAAGCAGTCTGAAAGGGAATTATGTACTTTTTGTTAAACTTTTTTATTTACAAATCACATATTATAAAATCAAATAAAACAATACAAAGAGATTAAAACAACTTAAATTACACAATAAATACAATTGCTTTGATGTTGGACTATTTACAGTTTCCAAATGTTTTCAATAACCTCTTGACAAATGCCATGTATCAATTCCCCCAATTGTCTACCTAAAAAAAGAGGAAATCCGGTATTAATCATATATATGCAAATAAAATGTTTTATTCCATACGGCTATGGTGCATCTTTTGAAATTTTCACCAAGGAACTCTTGCAAACAAGTGATATGGTCGAAGAAACTACTCTACAATGTCGTGTCTGTGCAATGAAGTCATTGATGCTTTCATTTTTTCGATCAGAAACAGGAAAGGGCAGTGAACAACATAATTTTCAAAATTTTAGAAAGTTGCTCTAGTTTATGACTGAAAAAGTATGTGCTATTGAAGCACCACTATTTTTAAAAGGGAAGAAGTATTGTAATAGCAGTATACCTTTCACTTAAAAGATGTTGAACAGAAAATCTTTCTGATAATTTTTAAATGTATTGTCATAATATTGTCTTTGTTATAATGGACTAGTTTGTTGTACATGTCATACTCTCATATTGGGGAAGCTACATACTCCTTTCGTATAGTGTAGCTTAGAGTGTTAAACTTCTGGGTTATTGTTTTGAATAGTATTACTTCTGAATTTAGAGTTAAAGTGTCTTTGTTGCCCACAAAATTCTTATTTGTGAAAAACGCTATTTCAAATATACAGGCCCTACATGCATATTAGAGGTAGAATGGTTACATTTTTAACAAAACTTTTGACTTGAGAGATGATCATTATTTGCAGTATTCTATTTTCATAAAAGAGCAAGAGCTTTAAGAGAGAATTTTCCAGAATATTATTCAATATTTGAAACATTATTGCTCATTTCCCATATGCTAATTGGTTTGTCTACATAAAGTTTCATGTTGGAGCTCGACTGAATTGAGAACAGAAAGAGTTTTTGAGATTCTTGTTAAAATTTACAATGTACAATTTACAAGCATTTCTCTTAACTTTTTCTTGAATTGTTAGGCCAAAGAAAGTACTCTTAGTGACTATAGTTACAGTGTAATTATTCGCAACATAATATTGAGGAGTTATTTCTTTGGATCAAGGATTCATAAATTTTAGACTGTTTCATGAATGTTTATAATGAGTTTGTCTTGAATCGTCTACTGAGAGCTTGGAAGAGTTTACAAGTGCCTTTTTCTATTGATTAATATATTTTCTCAATTATTCAATTGTGCACTAGTGGCTATTTGTAATATTTGATTTCAAATACTAAGGCATAACTATGTCATACTAATTCCTAGAAGTATTATTTGTTTATTTCATGTGCCTAAATACTTCACCATTAAATAATTTTATCTTGATTGTTTCATTCATTTCAAACCACCATTTTAGTGACATATATGATGGCATATCTGGCCCTGCATGGACTGGGTGAAAATTCATAAGCCTTAATAAAAAATCTCTATAACATTTGCACTATACAGAATGTCACTCATTTTAGTAATTTTTTTGTCCTACATACACAGTGCGGGATGTGAAGATAATGTTTGTTTAATTTTTTAATTTAATTATATACTTCTCGTTGCAATATTACATAGAATCAACCAATAACTTTCTCATGTAAATATTGTTCACCATAATCTTCCTACATTACATTTGATATTAACATTTTTGTCCCAATATTACTTACTTGCCAGCGAATATTGTCTGAAAAAAATTTATAATAGAAATCTTTCCCCCATAAAATAGTTGCAGTAATGATCGTGTGAAGGTTTTGAAATATTTTGTGAAATAAAAGATGTTAAGCTGTTGATGTTGTGAATTATCGTTTTAAAAATATGACCTAAACAAAACAATGGTGCTAATATAATTTTTGAATATTGTCAGACCTGATCCCATCAGGTATTCCTAAAGGCAGCTCAGCACATAGATGGCCTGCTCAAATAGGTTCCTTGTCTGTAACAATTATTTGATGAGATTGAAGATAATTTTCAGTACACCGCTATTGTTATCACACTTTTATTTCGTCATTATTCAATCTGCAATATAAATCAATTCTTATCAATGTCCCTTTTTGAGATATACAATAAGCTGAGGAAGAGCAATAGACTTTTTACACTTTAAGATTGTACAAAGCAATATCCCATAATGTAGGAGTGTTGCTTTTGATCCTTCAACCCCTATTTATTAGACTTGAAACAGTGCTAATGTCCTATATCAGGTGCGATACATAACTGATGCTAAATATTTTAAAATCTTACTTTCACTAACCTTTTTTTCAACATTGTCAGCCTAGAAACCAGATCACAAACACAACACACATAATTTTTAACTAATTTTTTATGTAAATAAATGAGATACAAATGAAATTTAAATTCCAGATCAATTCATTTTTTTATTTATCTTAACACATTACAGTACAAGTACAAATATTTTTTCTTAAGGATTTTTAAACCAGAACAGCCTCAATCACCCTTCCATATCCATTCCAACTTCATGGGTTGGAAATATTTAATACATTTTACTAAACCAACGTATAAACAGTTTTTGAACATAGTACTATTTTAAGCATACTAGTGTTATTTGCTTTCTTTAATTCATATTCCACTTCAATAAACTTCATCACTGTCAAAACTTTATTCTTGGCTAGAAATACTGCCAGTCTCATCACTTTCTTCTTCTGAACTTTCATATTCAATAGTTAAACCTTTGGCTACCATTAATTCCCTATACTTACTCCAAGTGGTAGTTCTAGGTATCAATTCTGAAAGTAAGCAAACTCCAAAATGTAAAACATAACAAACTTTCCATATTTCTACAAAATATAAACTAAAATTAAATAAAAGAATATTACCTTTAACAAAAGACATATTTGCATTTCTCTCAACACTTTCCGCTATATCATTGTAATGCAATTCTTCTTTCTTTTTTGCTATGGAATAAGCAGATTTGGCCAAATGCTGAATGAACATCTCCTGTAAATACATCACAGAAACAGTTCTTTGAATAAACAAACACTTACCAAAATAAATAAAATAAAACTTTGGTAAATCCATCCATAAAGTTACATCAGTCCATATTTATCATAAAATATCAATGTTTTATTCATAAATTATCTTATTTTACACATTATTGAATTAAATTAGAAAAGAAACATTGAATACTCATATTCAACCTTAAAACTTATTAATATTGTGTGATTTTTACTATGCAGGTACTAATCTCTTAATAGCAATTCAGTCAATAACACACACACACACACACACACAGTGTACCTGTAAAAACGCAATATTTTTTATGAAATGAACATCAAACATGTGGAATTCTAATGTCTGTAGAAGTAATACACTAGTATTAAGAGAAAGAATTGAAATTATTTTACTGACAAAACATTGAACAAACGAATACAAAACCAGTATAAACTTACCGTTGCTACATTAACTAGAAACAACGCTTCTTTCCCAATATTAATTACTTTGGGTGAACTTTTCATAATAGTTTTAACTTGCGATTCTGGCAACTTAACTAATTTATTTTTGCGTGTATCTTTCTTCCCAGCCATCTTTTACGACCAACGTAAAGCAATTGTTTTGAAATGATTCCCCGTGTACAGTTTATAAACACAATGGAGAAGAGGGAACCGTTATCAAATCGGTGCTTGAATTTTTGAAATTTCAAAAATTGTAGTTCCTGATTGGATACAACTTTTCCTCTCCTAATTCGCCAAGAGCAGAGACATTTTGAATCCAGAAATACATTAATTTTGCCACCAGTATAATTAATGCTACGAAAATTTAAGGCAAAATTAATCAATTGGTGACCTTTTCTAATTACATTTGAAGTATAGAAATATTGCGAACTGTTTTTGGTGCCATCTGTTGGCGAAAATAGCTCTTAACTACCTTCCGATCAGCTTACCATTGGTTAATTTGTCCAAATAAAATAAATTAATATTAACCAATTATAGTTTTAAAATTTTATGTAAATTTATATGCAGGTACATTAGGTGTATTTGCTCACACTACATTAATTTAAACATTTCCCATTTAAGGTGGTTAGAGCGAGATATTCCCTAGTAGATAAAGAGTTCATATTACGTTCAAAAATATTTATTTGCGAGATGAGTGGGTATTGTGCGACCTACATAAACAAAATAGGGACTTTTATTCTAAGTTTTATTTAATGATTAGAATTAGTTTTGTTTCATAGATATAAAATAAAAATATTTTAATACCACATACAGAGCTACCGTTGACTAGTTTCTTAACTAGTACCAACAGATCGTGTGGTCACGGAATGAAAAATTGAATAATAAGATTGAACATGAAAAAGCATTATTACACTATTAGTAAGATTAGAACGAATCATAAAAAGTAACTTTATAGACACATATCTATATATTTTTGTATAGTGATCGCTAATAATGGCAAACATTTCCATGTTTGAGTGGGTCGAAAAGGCTTTAGTAAATTGGGCATCGCCGTAATGTCCTTGGGATTGGCATGACTGCTCGGGGCTCATGCTTCTTCAAAGTTACGTTGTTTTGAATTATTTGAATACTGTTCGTTGCCTGGTCGACAAGCCGTAAATATCACAATCTGAGCGATTTGGCGGGAGGTTTATTTCCAAAGCGGAATTTGAGAGATAACGAAATAATGCTCCCAATATTGCGAGAACTGACGTAATAAAAAAGTTTTGAAATATTTTTTCAATATTTCTCTCTTTCTAATTTTTATTTCTTGAATTACCTGAGCCAATGGTAGGACAAACCGTAGATTATTCGATTGATTAACAGCAAGATCAACGGTTTGGTTCTCTTCAGCATTGTATAAACTTTATATATAACTTGACAGAAATCGTAATCATTCTGACTGTTCCTTATTTTCCTTCTCATCACAAAATAAATTTTTTGTTTTCTTTTCTTCTGTTTATTTCTGCTTAGTTAATTAAACTGCATGATCAATCTTTAATGTTTTAATAGTTTTCATTGAAATTTTGCAACTATTTTCTAGTATTCAGTATAATTTTATATCATGTTATATTATTGATTGAGATGCAGATTATTGTGTAAAGTACATGTCAAACTAAAGCTGATAAAATGAAATTACTGCAACATATAATTCTGAGAGCTGTATTGAGACCTTCAATAATAAAAACATATCATTGTTGGAGATAAAACCTTCAAAAGAGATTTCCAAGTGGCATAGTTTTTTGTAATCGTTTGTCTTGATGTTGCACTCAAAATGAAAAAAAGTTTTAAATGTTTTGAAAATAAGACATGAGAGCCATTCAAAATCCATTACTACTTTTCAGGACATGGTAAATTAGATGAAATATAGTGCTGGAGAGAAAAGGGGTTTCTATTAAAATACTAAAACTACCAAAGGCTGAATTTATCATTCCTCTTACAAGTTCAGTAAAATGTAATTATTAATTACAAATGTAATTATTAAATTTGCCTTTAGGCGGATTTAGATACTGTAGGCCTTCAAGCCCAAAACTATACTGGGCACTCCTTTAGAAAAATCTTTAAAATTAAAAAAAAACTAATTATGAATAAATCTACAAATTAACTAACACTAATTATGATAGAATAAATCTTTGTTTCATACAGATGTAAATTAATAAATTGCTTACAAAGTAGAATTTTCTTTTTAAACCTTCCATTTACAAATACACGTTTGGTTTCTTATTGTTCCATTCAGTTTCTTTTTAAAATCATTGTTGTTCAGTTGACTATTTGATTGATGATTATTCAGATAAAAACATAATATGAAGTTTTTAATATTTATTTAAAAATATCCGAGCACTGGGATGGGAATCCCATGCCTAATTTTGCTAGCAGGAAATCCAGCTCTGCTTTCACCTATACCTTGAATTCTTGATATTAACACCAGCAAACTAGTATTTTATCGTTGCAACACAATAGAGGCTACTAAAAAGTCTATTTCTTTCTGAGTTGAATGCCCACCCAGTAGCTCTGCAGATTGAGGTGCTGATCTATGCTAAAGATTGCTGCTTTGAGTCCTCTCTAAGCAACTGTGGTGCAGAAGGCAATGGCAATCCACTGGTATACCATAATAGAAAGGAGAATATGAATAATTTACGAATAATTGAATAAATACACATTGTACAGGATAAAAAACTGACGTAGGCACAATGCAAAATAATAATACTGCACTGAATGTTTAAAAAAGTGTATAAACTCACGATCACCCATTTTATCATAAGAAGTAGTACAAAAGTGAGTTATTGGGAATAACAATTGAATTAAGATTTTCATTGAGATCGCACTAATCATTATATCCATCAAATTCCAGCTTTTCTCAATATCTGGTTACTTTCAAACGCAATGTTTTCCAGGAGTGAGGATATTTTAATTGCTCTCAGAATATCTACAGGCATGTACGAACTCTTCCAAGGGCTTGTCACTCGATTTGAATGAAGCGCGTTGCGCGCGCTGTGTTGCCGAGGTACGCGAAACAGTTCCGATCCTCTACAAAACGTGCGAACGTCTCCCTTTGGACTGATTTAGGCTTATAATGTTGCAAAATTCTCCCATTTGAAACGGTACATGTCCTTGAAATTGCGTATATTGACTCTTAGAGATGCTAGCTACCTAAAGAAGAATTTTTAAAAACATGTTCAACAGTCAACTTTCTCACAGTTTTAAGAGCCCATGTAAAAACAGTAAATTTTACGGTCTCGTTACGCGAAAACTGGACGGTAAAATTGATTCAAAATCTACCAGACCATAGAAGAACCTCTAATCTTTCGATTAATACAATAAAAAAGGCATGTTAAACTTAACACTTATCTCGCTCTAACCACCTTAACCTACTTCAGGCTTGATCTATCGCTCGTTTGGGGCGCGTCATTCGCTACAGATCAAAGTGCAATGTTTCTATATAATTGAAAATATCTTATTGTAACGAGAGTAAAATGTATGTATAATTTTAACAAACTTTAGAGCTGAGGCTCAATTTATCATTTTTCTGTTGCTGGTGATATAATTGGTGACATAAATATTGACATTTTGAGTCATGGACTTATTATAATTATAACCAGAGCATAATGTCATGCAAGGCAGTCTAACATAACATAATAGACTACCTTGTGTCATGATATTGAAAGAAAAGTTAGAAGTAAGGCGTTTTCTTTGGCTCTGATCGCTTATCGAAACGAACGAGACAGTCGGCACGTTTCCGTGAGAACACGTCGAACGGCAACACGACTGCCCGGGAATGTTTGCAAATCATAACCATATTTGTACGGAATCCCCAAAATGAAACTTCTCATCGGTCAGAGTTTTGAAGCACTACCAAGTGGTTGGTCTGGCACAGTAACACAGTACAGACACGTGTAAAACGATTCATTGAGGAATGACGTGAATTGAGAGAATTATGATATTGATGATATGTTTAATAAATAAATCACGTTTTAAAGCCAATTTCACTTCCATTTTTCTACTAGAAGCACACAACATATATAATTTATACTGAGCAAATAAATTTAAAATGCGAATTCAATACACAGGCAACGAATTCCAGTTGACAGTAATGCATAAAAATCACGAAATATAAACAAACTTTTTTGTATAGATTACTACTTGCAAAAACTGTTACTCCCAAGTAGTATTTGCAGTAGTAGAATTCATGATGGAAAGACGTGGGTGAGTTAGTCCGGCGCAATCGAGTTTTGCTCGTTCTGCACAGGAGCAGAAACATGTTAACCATGCGACCACTTCGTTTGAAAACCCTGGCCAATCGTTGGACGCCGCACTGCACGGGCAGCGAAAAGTGTTGAGCAACACTATGATTCCCTCCAATCCAGTTGTTAATACATTTTGTCCTTACACACATCAGAATTTTATTTTGAAAAATTTAATTTAATCTATGTTCTTCTTCCATTCCCTTGTTCACAAGTAGACGCAAGTGACAAAACGCCCTGCGTTAGCCGTGACAGTCCCTTTTTT